CCTGTGATCTTTAACTGTTCAACTTGTAGTTCCTCAGCAAGGCTCTCTTCCTTGAAAGAGTTCTTACCTTCCTTCACAAAGATTCACTGTCCATGGGAGTAAATCAGTACTCAGTCAAGATTCTGGGGTGCTCACCTGCAGATTCCTGGGCTCCTTCCTGGTCAATCTTCCTTCCCTCTCATACATACCTGGCTAATTTTAGTTTCCCTGCAGTCTGGGCTCTGTTATAGTCTCCCTTTCTACCTATGAGTCTGACAGAACCTCCACATAAAACACCCAACAATGTGGGGTTCATCTCAGTCCTGATCTGCTTTCTAATACTTGAGTGCTATTCAATGCCTACTTATGCCTTAAGGGCTATTATGATTTGAGGGCTGGCTAGTGGGTTGTGAAAAAAACCAAAACCAAAAACAATGCTTCATCTCCCTACCCCAGTGGCCTATGGACCCTCTTTCACTGACCATAAGCAATTTTAGGGGGTAGGAGTCATAACTTGAACTATGCATTATATAATGAAAATCTGTCAGTGGAATTAAGGAAGGATGAAGCAGAAATGGCTGTCTAGTCACTGACTAGTTAGCAATGTCTTGCATGCTGAAACAGCTGTCAGCAAGTGGCAAATTGTATAGCGAATCCAGAGTCTATGATTTATTTTTTTACAGTGCCATGGATAACTTGAAATGCATACAAAATTAAGTATGTCTAGATTTTATAGAGAGTAGGTCTATTAACTATGCATATTTTCTCAAATTACCTTTCTAGAAGGTTAATAACCAATGTTCCATGGGGTGGCTGCCCGATTTTTTAGTATCTGCCCAGCCACAGTCCTCACCATTTTAGTCCCCCTGTGTCCCCAAAGATGAGTCTGTGATATGCTCCTGTCTCCTGGGCTCAGTTGCTTGGCCACTTTCTGGGTACCAGGAGCTGGGGCTTTAGGAGGAGCAAGTTAGTGAGCTGAGAAGCAGTGGGTGGCTTAGATCCATGGCTAAAACATGGGGAATAAGACAGACGGGGGGTGCAGGCAGGTGCAGAAGGTTAACCCATCTCTTAGTACTCCCCCTCCAGTCCTGGTACTGTTCTTCTCTGTGGGTTTCTCTATACTTTTCTCATTAGTATTTTTCCTGTTTCTGTGCAGGCTAATTTTAATTCATGCCTGAAATGCCAAGTGTCACATTCCTTCTCATGCCTGGCCACCAGCCACTTCAAATTCCAGGATATGAAACACACATGGGTCAGTCAATTTTGCTCACCATGGGGCTAAGAAGGTTGGAAGGGGGAACCTGGCAGCACTCCTAGGCACCAGGAGCCATTTGGGGGCCCAAGCACCTCTACTCTCACAGCCCATGAGGTCAGTTTCTTTCTCTTGCTAGACCTGGAGGAAGTCTTGCAGTCAGAAGCAGGTCCCAGAGTAGCTCTTGTGATTCATGAAGGGAGCTGTTTCATTCTCTAGGGTGGTACATGGGCACCCCTAAATCCCAGCTCTCCTTGCATATAGGCCAATTCTTCTCAAAATGAGCTATTTTCTGGCCAAATGTCCTTTCTTAGCCCATCAATAAAGACTTGTTTTCTGGCATCAGACAGGCCTACTGGGACATGGGGGCATCTGCCCTCCTCTAAGGAGGCCTGCAGTAACTGCTGTACCCTGGACCCTTCTCCTGCATTTCTCCCTTTTACCTCCCAGGACAGGAAGAAATACACATACACAGGACATAGCATAGAGGCCATAAAGATCTCTGTTGCTCTTCTTTCTCTCTTGAGGAGTAAAAAGGGCCCCTCAGCTACAAATCAAAAATGCCACTCTGATGAGCCAGCAGTACTGGTCACAGCAAAAGTGTCTGGGGACCCAACTACGAAACAAAGTAGGCAGTGAAAACTAGAGATGCAGACCTGTAATCCCAGCTACTTGGGAGACTGAGGTAGCAGTATTACAAGTTTAAGGCCTGACTGATCAATTTAATGAGAACCTGCCTCAAAAAAAAAAAAAAAAAAAAAAAGGAAAAAGAGGGCTGGGCTGTGGGTAAGGGTATTTGTTGCCAAGTCTGATGACCTGAGTTTGATCCTGGGACCCACATGGTAGAAGGGGAGAACTGATTCCTGACAAAATAATTAAATGCTTCTTCTTATTATTTTTTATTTTAGTAAAATAAAGGGCTGGGAAGATGGCTCAGTCAGTAAAGTGCTTATTGTACAAGCATGAGGACTTGTATTTAGAACATAAAAAAAATCTGGGCATAGGGGCTAGAGAGATGACTCAGTGATTAAGAGCACTTACCCTCTACAAGTTCAAGGCCAGCCTAGTCTACCTAGCGAGTTCCAGGTCAGCTGGGGCTATGGGGAGACCCTGTCTCAAAAAGACGAAAAAAAAAAAAAAAAAAAAACTCAAAATGTGGGCTCAAGGGTTGAGAATTAAGGAAACCTGACTGCTTGATTTAAAACATTCTGGGTGAAACTGGCCTTAAAAAATGAAGGCTGTGTGTCGGCTGATGAAGAACAGCAATTACTAATAGTCTGCTGCCACTGGACTTATGTGACCACAGTGGGATTCTGTCATTTTTTTGCTTAAGCCCCGCAAAGACGAGACCCCCCTATGCTCCCTGGCGAGTTCCAGGGCTACGGGGGGTATGGGGGGACCCCGTCTCAAAAAAACCAAAAAAAAAAAAAAAAAAAAAAGCACTTACCTGGGTTCGGTTCCTAGCACCCACATGGTGGCTAACAACAGTCCTTAACTCCAGGGGAACTGAAGCCCTCTTCTGGCTTCTGTAGCATTGCATGCATGTGCTGCACCTACATACATGCAGGTAAAACAATCATTCACATTTAAAAACAAAACAACAGGCTGGACATAGTAAGCATATGATCCCAGCACTGGGGAGGTAGAGACAGGAGAATCCCTGGATCCCACTGGCCAGACAGCCTAGCCGGATCAGTGAGGTCTAGGCCAGTGAGACCTTGTCTCAAACAACAAGATGGGAGAACTATAGTCTCCACATGCATATGCACACACCATAGACATATACCACATATACAAGCACACAAAGTTAAAAAGAACTTGGGGTACAGTTCAGTGATAGAGATCTCACCTATTCTAGTAAAACACACACACACACTCATGTGCAAGCAGATGAAAGGCACAGTGCCTGATAAAGACAAGGTTGTGAGCAACAGCTGGACAACTGTGAACTTTGGCTTTATCACCTTTTCTTTTTTCCTAGCTCTATGTTAAGCTTCCTGTCTCAGTTTTCTATCTATAAAATGGAAATTATGTCACCTACTCAAACAGCTGAGGTTACACCAGAATGAATACACAAGAAACTTAACCTTGTCTATAACAGAGGTGAACAGAACAAAGACTACTGTGCCACGTACTCTCAGCCATCGCTGGAGGCACCAGGGCATCCAGGACCTACAGCATATGTCACAGCAGGCAGACGGTATACATGACCTCTGGCATTTTGAGTCTACTGCCAGGTCTCCAAGGGTGGGGCCCTTGGGCCTATCAGTTCTTGCTAGCTGTCTGAGAATGAGCTCACCTGACTGTCAGAGTTGGGGAAGCAGGGGTGGTCATACTGTCCCAGGAATTCTGGACACCAACCACAGCTAAGGGCCTTGCTTTTAAATGCTCATATGATCTCATGAAGAATGCTAGGGTGGGTGGATGCCCTGCTGTCTTACTGTAGGGATAGCTCTGCCTCCAATAACCTAGCCCGAGGCCCCACAGTGACTATTCGAGCACTGGTACTCAAGAGACCTTGCTCAATGGCCTCTAGTCTCTCCCATTATAGGCATTCCCTAGAGGTTCAACCCATCATCACTCCTGGGAGGAAAGAACCACATCATTAGACTGCGATCAGGATATGCCAGAGAGGCACATAGAATCCATAATGCAAGGAATCCCTCACTGTTATGGCTGTTAAAGGGCAGGGTGTGACTCAAAAAGGAGTGCTTCATGTACCTGGTTACCTCCCTGAAGCCTGGCCCTGATCCTAAGGCCTCAGCCTCTCCCTGGCTCATTCTTTACTCCCTCTAGCATTTGTCTGGCACAAATCATGTGGCCTTTTGTCTGATTCTCAGGCTCCCTGGGTGGCTCCTGGGGCTGGCCATACCACAGCCAGCTTACATGGCAAGTACGGCTAGTAAGGGCCCTCTTAGAACTACTAGGACAGTGACTCCTGGACTGGCTACTAGGTTGAAAACACATTCAGGAGCTGGGGAGATTCAATGGGTAAGAGCTCGCTTCAAAAGAATTTGGCCTCTAGCTTCCACCCAGGCTTTTCTTTTCTTGCCCACTTAAAGAGACTAGAGTGCAGGAGGGCGTGTTCAGCAGTCTGAGAACGCCCCAGATTTGGCTTGCAGGAGATCGGGCAAGTAGGAGGCACCCAGGCTGTCTCCATCCCCTCCAAGGCTCCCTCTGCATCAGAGAGGCCTGTCTTCAGGCCGTCATTTGCTAACCCTGCGCTTTGGCACTCACTGGGCAAGGCCTCATAGCCAAGACGTGAACAGCGGATTCTGCTTTCCAGCCTGACAACAGCGTGGAGCGACCTCCTGCAGGGTCTGTGGTGTACACAGCCCGCTGCTAAGCAACAACAGAGGGCTTGACACCGCCCCTGAACGACCAGGCAGAACCGCTTTGGCGTTTGAGGACCGTCGGGGATCGGCTAGGATGAACGTCTTCCTCTCTCTGCACTCAAAACTCTCTCGTTCTCTAGGCCCTCATCTCTCGCCGGATGGTTGCCGGACGGCAGCTGGGACACTGTCTCCCGCGTAAAGGACCAAGGCCTGAACACGTCGCGGTGGAAGCCTTGCTGCGGTCCCAGCCCACTCTCTAGAGCGGCTCTAGGGACGAGGCTCGCTTCCTCCCTGATGGCGGTGTCCGCACTCCAGGATTCCCAGCAGGGCCGGACCGGGCAAGCCGGGCCACCAGTAGGCCGCTTTTCCAGGGCAGGTCCCCTCCCCCAGCACAGCCCTCCCTCGCAGGCCGCCCGGCCCACTCCAGCCCCTACCGGGCTCCAGCAGATGAGCGCATCGGTGTCCGGGTCGCTCACGAGGGTCCACAACTTGGTCAAGAAGGCCGGGACGTTGCTGGGCCCCGCTGTGCCGGGGCCCACGGCCAGATCCATCTCGAACGAAGCGGGCGGAGGCGGGGGGTGGCGTCCGAGAAGACTGACTGAGGGCCAGGCTAGTGCAGTCGCCCCCGTGGCTGTTCTGGCCGCGCAGCTACTCGCTGCGCGCACACAGCCCGAAGACCTCGCATGGCCGCCGCCATCTTGCGACGCGCGCGCTCTCGCGGGAGCCAGGCCCGCAGCCCGTGCGCGCAGGCGCCGTGACACGCCACGCCCCCTGCGCTGGCCCCACCCCCGAGAGGCTCGGCTCACCGTGCGCCTGCGCAGACGGCCGGTCTCCGGCCGCTTACCAATCAGGGCCTAGGTAGGCGGGGCCGGGCTGAGGGCACACGCGGCGTGCTCGCTCCCGGAAGCGGCGGTCTACTCGGAGCCGGCACGGCGCAGGATGGCCGGGTTGTGCAGGGAAGGCTACGCTGCGTCGCGACTTCTGTCAGGGAAGCGGCGTTCTGAGCCGAATCGCGAGGAGCAGCCACAAGAGGTAACCTAGGGGTTTCGGGCCGGCCCTGGGTAGACAGTCGCACACGTGGCTGGGCTCAGGAGGCCCTGCCGCGGCGCTGCGTCAGGTGTGGGGCGGGTCGCCTGGTGCCTCGGGAAGTTCGTGCTCTCGTGGCTGTTACCGTGGGACCCTCAGCGGAGCGTAGCCTGCGTCCTGCAGCGTTGAAACCCTCGGGTAGATCTGCGGCTTGAACCGTGATAGAACGGGAAAGAGGCGTAAGAGCCACGGCCTCAGCCTTCTAGCTGTGCTTCCTAGCCTAGAAAAGGTTTGAGCTTGCATCCTTGCTGTACTGCTATGCCAGTATGTTAGGTATGTTATGAAATAAAGGGGCAGAGACTACGGAAGCCTGCAGAGAACTAGGGTCTCCACCGGTTGTCAGGAAATCATTGCCACTCCTTGATGCTGCGCTCCCTAGGTGTAAGTGGGGCTTCAAATCTGCGCAGTAGAAGGCATGAACAGCCATGTCTCACACAGCCGACTCCCAAGTTGGATCCTCCAAGCTGTTTTGGAATCTGTACCTAAGTTTCTCCCTACATGCAGCTCTATATACTAGGTCCTTAGTTGACAGTTTATATCCTATTATTTGTACCAGCTTAACTTGGTATTGTAACATGTAGTTAACTGAATTTTGGAGATAAATCACGAATAAGAAGAGAATGTGAACATCGCTTATGTGGAAACTTATTTGAGTGCGTAATGCAGGCCATCCAGTTGGATGAAACTGAGACTACTGGAAAAAACGGTGAAATTGAGAATTCTACAATCACATGCTTTCTAAGAGTCTTCAAGTTCTTATTCCACCTTATGGAAGCCGATGACAGAGACCTATCTACAATGCTTATGTGTCAGATTATGTTAGTCGTGAAATGGCCTCCCTATAGCAGGCCTGTGCTCAGAAATCTGTTTTTGCTCCTAGAACACATGGGCCTAACTTGCTGTAGGTGCACTTCAAGTCATTTCTACCACAATTCAGTTGTCTGTCAATAGTTGGTCCCCGTCTTTGTGTTAAGGAAGCATCTACAGCAGATGATTGAAGCCTTCAGGAATTCTGATCCTCTCAGACCTACATCCCTATCCCTAGGTGATGAGTCCAGCTCTAGGATCTTTAGGTGCCAGTTTGTTAGTAGAGGAACATTGGTTTGGGTGATACAGAGAATGGGAACTAAGCTCCAAAAAGCTGGTATGTGCTTAAAAAGTCAGAGGGCAGGTGCTGTCAGAAGTGGCAGATGAGGGAGGGACTAAGTTGATTGGTTTTGGTGGAGATGGAGGCTTGTGATCAGAGGCTTGGCTGCTCCCTGTTTGGGCTTCATGGTGCCTGTCTAGGCATGCCTGTCAGGTGGCAGTTGTTGACACTGTGTTTCCTTGCAGCCCCCTCTCCTCTGTGACTCTGGTTCCAGCCTCTCTGACAGCGAGGAAAGTGTGTATTCAGGCCTGGAAGATTCTGGCAGTGATAGTGAGGAAGACAATGAAAGCGTGGAAGACAATGAAAGTGTGGATGTAGCTGGTTGTGATGAGGACAGCGGTGGAACGGAGGAGACCCCTGGGGAGCAGCAACAGGTAGGTGAGTGAGAAGCCCCCATGGGCTCTCCCATGCATGAAGGTGGCCAGAGAGGAAGCACCTGAGGGGCTATGATTTCTCTGAGAGCTGCACCACACTCCTCTCCATGGTGTCCTCAGGAACCCCAGTCCTTACTTGTTCCTTTGCCCATTTGTGTTCCAGGACACTGGTTTGCAACCATTCCTGAGAACTCCAAAAGTCCACATGCCTCTGACTTTTCCCCTCAAATGGTTCTCGGCCCACCCCTGTATGAGACAGTGGGCTGGCTCCTGGTCTACTTGCCTGGTTTCTTAGAGGCAGAGCCCAAGATGGGGATGTCACTGCTAGGGGTACTACCAGCCCATGGTTTCAAGGGATAATGTTCATCAGAAAAAAACGGGAGCTGCTGGGGTCCAGCCTAGCTGCCCATTGGCTTTGGAGCCCTAGAGGCCAACGGGTTGCTGTATTTATGGGGCAAGCAGCATCCTATTCTTGGTAAAAATGGGAGAGGGGGCTGTAGAGATAGCTCAGCAGTTAAGAGCACTGGCTGCTCTTGCTGAGGACCTGAGTATGATTCCCAGCACCCACATGGGGGCTAAAAATTGTCCTCAGCTCCAGTTCCAGGGAAATGCAATGCCCTTTTCTGACCTCCAAGGGCATTGAAGGACAGGGGTGCACTTACATGCTTGCAGGCAATACACTCACACACATAAAAATAATAAAATGTGAGCCAGGCGTGGTGGCGCACGCCTTTAATCCCAGCATTTGGGAGGCAGAGACAGGCAGATCTCTGTGAGTTCAAGGCCAGCTTGGTCTACATAGTTCCAGGACAGCTGGGGCTATAGGGAGACGCTATCTCAAAAAGATCAAAAAAAAAAAACAAAAACGAAAAAGAAAAATAGTAATAATAAAATGTTTAAAAAATGGGGGAAAAGCTTAATTTGACTAAAATACAGCAATTAATATTTAAGGTGTTCTGCAAACTAGTTTGTAGTGGTTTATACTAATGGCCCTGGTATTTTGGAAGTCACAGCCATGGTTAATAAAATCTGTTGCCGGAGGGAGACCAAGAAGTTATGGTAGGTTGACAAAATGTTGACTATAATTTGTAAGATTATGAACAGCCATTCCCCCCTCTTTAAAGTTTGTGTATGTTTTTGTGAATGTGATTGCATGCAATGTGGAGCTCAAAGTTGACATCGGGAATCTTCCTTGATTGCTCTGTACTTTATTGAGGCAGGGTCTCTCACTGAGCCTAGAGCTTGCCAATTCTGGTTAGTCTAGCAGCCAGCTTGCCCTGAGATCCCATCTCCTTTCTGCCCCTACTTCTGCCCTCTCAGCCCCTTTCTCTTTCCCTCCTCCCCATTGTTAGTATTATTATTGCTTCTGGGCGTTGACTCTAGGACCTCTTGCATAGGATGCAAGGGCTCCACTAAGCCCTCTCCCAGATGGTGCCTTGTTCTTGCTGTTGAGTGGATTTGTGAACTTACGGCCATTTCTTCCCTTTTGTGTCCATTTGACTCCTTTTCCCCCCTCCCTGTTTATGTGTGGCTTGTTTGTTTTTACTTTTCTGGGTCCCTCCCTCTTGGTTTTTTATTCCTTTATGTCAAAGTGCCAATTTCCTTCTGTTGACCCTTCAAGTATGTAAGAAAGGGGGCCTAGAGATAGGGCTCAGTGGTTAACAGCACTGGCTGCTTTTGCAGAGGACCCAGGTTCGAATCTCAGCACTCACATGGTGGCTAACAACCATCCTTAACTCCAGTTCCAGGGGATCTGGTGTCCTCTTCTGACCACCTCAGACATTGCAGGACACGGGTGCACTTAGACAATATCCTGATACATACACATAAAATAAAAATAATAAATACTTTAAGGAATGTGAGAAAAGGCCTAGTAATAATCACAGCATATATAACATTTTCCCTTGATAACTAGAGAAGAATTCTGTTTATGGAACTTAGTCCCAATTCTAGCAAGAAGGTCCTGGGGAATGGCAGAGAGCCAGTGAGTCAAGGAAGCCTGCCTCAGGCACCATACTCCTAATACCACTGTGCCCTTGTCCTTGGCTTCTGTCACTGATTACAAAGGAAGTAGCAGCTGTTCTCCACCAGCCTGAGTTGTACACTGGCAGCCAACCATTGCATGGAAGTCAGAGTCAGGCAAAGCACTGTAGGGTTATTGCAACCCTGCTTTGCAGTGTCATCTTGGACAGAGGGGTGTGTATCCTACAGGTTCTGGTACATTCCACCCTAGGCAGCTGACCACTCACATCCTGTGTGTTGAGGCTTAGATGTGGGTCCTGGTGAGAATACCCAGGGTCACTTGTGTTGTGGTTCTGAGGCGAACAATCCTGTTACACTCAACAGTAGTCAGGCTGGGCGTGGTGGCACACGCCTTTATCCCAGCATTTGTTTGGCAGTGGAAGGCAGTTCTCTGTGAGTTCAAGGCCAGCCTGGTCTACATAGCAGTTTCCAGGCCAGCAAAGGCTACATAATGAGACCCTGTTTCAAACAAAAAGAAAGATTTATAGTCATGTTCCATTTTTTATTATTGTATGTGTGAGTGCAGGACATGTCATAGCATACAAGTGGTTAGAAGATATTTATGTAGGCCAGGTGTTGTGGTGCACACCTTTAATCGCAGCAGGCAGAGGCAGGCGGATTAGTTGGACGCCATCCTGGTCTATATAGCGAGTTCCAGACCAGCTGGGGCTACAGGGTGACCCTATCTCAAAAAGACCAAAAACAAGACATTTGTGTGAGTTGGTTCTCTTCAACAGTGGGTTCCAGGGATTGAACTTTGGTCATCAGGCATGTATAGTAAGCACTTTTATCTGTTCAACCGTCTTCCTGGCCTTGACATTTAAAAAAGTATTCTATTATTTTTATTTTATGTGTATGACTGTTGTGCCTACATGTATGTAAGTGTACCTGTGTCATGCAATGCCTGAGGATGTCAGAAAAGGGCATCAGATCCCCTGGAATGGGAGTTAAGGACGTTTGCTAGCTACGATGTGGTTCCTAGAAACTGAACCTGGGTCCTTTACAAGAGCAACCAGTGCTCTTAATCGCTGAACCATCTCTCCAGCCCCTTATTTTTATTTTTTTATTTTTTTGAGCTATGGTCTCCCTGTAGCCCTAGCTGTCCTGGAACTCACTATGTAGACCAGGCTGGCCTTGAACTCACAGAGATCCGCCTGCCTCTGCCTCCCAAGTGCTGGGACTACAGGTGTGCGCCACCATGTCTGGCTATTCACCTTATTTTTAAAAAAGATTTATTTATTTATTTTTTTTTTAAATCTTTTTGAGACAGGGTCTCCCTGTAGTCCCAGCTGGCCTTGAACTCACAAGGATCCACCTGCCTCTGCCTCCGGAGTGCTGGGATTAAAGGCGTGTGCCACTACGCCCGGCTTATTTATTATTTTTATTTTATGTATATGGGTGTATTGCCTGCATATAGGTAAGTACACTTGTGTCGTGCAATGCCCGTGGAGGTCAGAAGAGGCTGTCAGATCCCCTGGGACTGGAGTTACAGACAGTTGTCAGCTGCCATGTGGGTGCTGGGATTCGAACCTGGGTCTTCTGCAAGAACAACCAGAGTTTTTAACTGCTGAGCCATCTCTCCAGCCCCAGATTTATTACTTTTTAATTTATGTGCCTGCATGCAAGTGCCCTTAAAGGCCAGCAGGTGTCAGATCCCCTGGATCTGGAGTTATAATTGATAATGAGCCATCTGATATGGGTGCTGAGAACTGAACTAAGGTCTTCTGCAAGAGGAGTGTTCTTAACCACTTGAGTCATTGTTTCAGCTCTCACTGTATTGTTTTGACACGGGGTCTTTCACTGAACTTAGAGTTCACTGATTCATTGAGACTAGCTGGCTAGTGAGCTCCAGGGATCTTCCTGTCTCTACCTCCCCAGCCCTAGGATTATAGGCATGTGTCATCATGCCCAGTGTTTTCTGTGGTTGCAGGTCCTCATGCTTTCCTGGCATGCACTCTACGGACTGAGCCATCTCCCCAGCGCCTCAGGCCCTTTCTGAGTTACTTTCCTTTTCCTTGAAAAACAAGGGCACAGTTTTCGTCCTGTATTGTCTCTGGCCTCTTCAGTTCCTACGCTGATTTTCTTTACAACTGTATGGGTTCTCTAGGTTCCATTCGCCAGTCTTTTCCCATGAGGTAAGCTTTGCTCACATAGTTCTTTGTTACCCACCCTTCTCTAGGAAGCTCTGGCACCTGAAGTGGGCACTAGTAGCTTATGAGCCTAGCGTTGGGGCCTTTGCTAGACAGTAGGTTTCTGAGTCTCTTTTGTGTAACTGGCAGCATTCTGGATTTGATCTGTGTATGTCAGGGATTTTGTGTGTGTGCAGTATGTGTATGGGTGATGGTGGGAGTCATGGAGGGTGAGCTTGGCCATGCCTATAGCACTGACCTTGGGGCATGGCATGCTGGAGATGGCAGCTTCCCTCTGCACCACTGGAAGGTTTGCTGGTATTCAAGGTTGGCTTGGCTGATCCAGGCCCGCCTCCTGCAAGAGGTGGAGTAGCCTTTGTCCTATGCGTAGCTGGTGGTAGCCGAGGCTATGACAGGTTGACTAACACTAGACAGAGGAGAATCTGTTGCTGGCAGTATAAGAAGCTTATTTAGGGCCAGTGAGATTGCTTAGTGGGTAAACGATGTTTGTCATCAAACTTGGATGGCCTAAGTCTGATTCCTGGGACACACATGGTAGGAAGTAGATGAACCAGCTTCGGTAAGTTGTCCTCTCACTTCTGAAATGTGCATTGTGGCACACGTGTACCTGCACTCCACATGTGCATCACACACAAAATAAAATAAAATATTAGAAAAGGGGGGGGGGCCTGGAAAGTTGGCTTGGCCATTCAGAGCATACTACAGTTCCAGAGGACCCAGGTTTGGTTCCCCAGTACCCATGTCAGATGGTTCACAGCTCCTTGTAACTCGAGCTCTGAGGACTCTGATAGCCTCCGAAGGTCCCTGCAGGCAAGTGCATACATCCTCACACAGATACACTTAAATTTGAAAAGAAAGTTATATTTATAAAGATTAAAAAAGAAAGAGAAACTTGGTCATTTGTTCATTCTAGGTAGTCAGAGTCTTTGTGTATCTGTCTTTGGTCTTTGGCAGAGATATACCTATCCCCCAGTGGCCAAGTAGACAGGCAGGAGGCAAGAAGTGCCTCTCTTGCCCCCTGTTCCTCCTCCAGCTTAAATGATTCACCAGCTTCTTTGTAGGTCTCTTTTCAACATATTTCCCAGCACCTGGTGGTCAACACTGCCTTCTGTGGCCCTCTCAATACTAATCCTGGACTCTAGCTTTCCTCTCTCTTCCTGTTGGCCCTCTACTGGTGCCCCATGGGCCTCTACCTCAGGGGTAACTCCCTTTATACTAGTTAGCCCTCCAGTCCTGCTCTGCCTCTGTCCAGGTTGTGTATACTTTGCTGTCCTTGTGGTCTCTGGGCTTTTCTGTCACCTCACACCTGACTCCTTCTCTGGCCACTTAACTTTTCATTTGGTGGTAGTGTTGATAGTTGTGGTTTGGGGATACACACTGCACCGCTGTCAGTGTGGCACCTACCTGTATCCCCCAAACTGGCTTAGGCCAGTTAGTGCCAGGCCTCTTCTGTGGGCTTTTTTAGGGTATGTCTTGTACTCAGTGGGTGCTAGCTGCCTGTGATCTGCTGACTGTGGATCTTGCAGACCTCACCTTTCTGTATTGGAGAGAGAGGTATGTAGACAGCCAGGCAGCTGAAGGCCCCTGACCCAGAGAAGACAGGCATGTCATATACCTGCATTCCATTGTCTGTGGTTTAGATGTTTCAGTGGTCATCTTTAAATTTTAATTAAAAGGAAGTATACCTGTTATCTGAGTACAGGGAGTTAGGCAGGCTGGAGAATATTTTGAGACTAGCCTAGGCTAAAGCCTGGGCAACAACACAAAAGAATTTGTGGGGGTGCATTTTTTCTGGGTTCATTTCCAGAGTGTGCGCCTACCCTCCACAGACTCAGGGTAGGCACTTCCCTCAGGGACCTGGACCCAGGGTCGTCGCTCTGTTGGTGCTGCCCTCTGGTGGACACCAGATGCTCTGCATCTGTTGCATCTAGAGTGAAGCTGCTGTTCTTAATTCATGAGGCAAACTGAGCCTCGCCATTGGAGATCCCAATCTTTGTCAGGAGTCTACCCAAGTCTGGCTCCCCTGGTGTCCCTTACACTCCCAGCACTGGAACAGTGGGGGCACATAGTGCTGGCTGGTAAGTGTGTTATTAGCTGGAGGACTCTGATCATGACATGTTAGCACTGCTGTTGGGACTCATGTAGGTACAGCACTTGGCAGTGAACTTTGGGGAGGAGTTGAGATGTTCGGGGCCCTGCCTGAGAGCTACAAGCACCTGCCCAGGATTCTGATGGGCTCAGGCTGAAGCAGGTGTGCCTATGTTGCTGGGGTGTGGGTGATTCCTTCTCTGTGTGTGTGGGCCCTGTTCTGAGCTGGGCTATGTAACCCATTTTTGGCGGACAGCAAGGAAGCGGGGGAGATACAGAAATTGAATCCTGCCTTTTTCTTGGCCTGGAGAAAAACTTAGTCTTCCATCCTTCGTTATATTGAAAGAAAAAACAGGCGAGAGGAAGAGCAGACCCTTGGCTCCTTCCTGGGTAGGAGGGAGTGGGGCTCTTGCTCACCAGGGTTCCTGCTCCAAGCACTTTACTGCCCTCAGGGGTGAGAGGTGGGCCTGTTTTCTCCATCAGTCTTGGTTCTGCCAGTAAACCTGATCTGGTCTGAGCCATCCGCCTCCCTTGTCAAGGGAGAATCTGTTTTCCAGGTTGGGGTATGAATCCTCCCTCAGTGGTGCCCCACTCTGACCCAGGGGAAGAGATCAGCCATCGTTGTGGTGGGTTTGGAGGGTGCTGGGGACCCAGCTCAATGGTGACTATTCCAGGGCTGTAGATATTGTGAGGGTCAGCTCACCTCTTTAGGCCCTTGGCCAGTGGGGCTGGGCTGAATGTACATCTTAGGGGCTCCAGGTGCTGGCAGGGTTGCCTGGGAACAAGTTTTGACTTGAGGAAGGTACTGGCTGTGGTTATTGTGGCAGAGGACCCACAGCTTATTGCACTTGCATCTGTCCTGCGCTCTTTCTAATGATAGCAGTGTACCTCTTCTGCCTCTCCCTGTGTTCCCTGCTCTGGGTCTGAGCAGGTCTGAGCATATATATCTGCTCGATCTGGGCCTAAGAGGGCCATTTTTAGGACTGTGGCCCAGGGGCCCTATAGCTGGTTGTGATGTTAGTGTGGTGGTGGGGGTGAGTGGCAGACAGACCCATGGCTGGGCTTTGGTCCCCCACTGCCCTCAGTAGCTGTCTCCATTTTGGCCTGGCATCCAGTATCACCCATTGTCTGGGTTGCTAGAATACAGAAATTAGTCCAGCCCTTTAGGGGTTATCCCCAAGCAGATGCTGTGGTACAAGGTTCAGCAGTGGAGGCTCTGAGGTACACTGAGAACTGGAGTGACCTCCATTCTGTGCTGAGGCCTTGGGCCAGGTTGGGGCTACTCAGATTTGGGGTGGTAGGGTGCCCCATGTGGGCTTTGTGTCTAGACCGCACCACTGGGGAAATGTATTTTTCCCCAAGTGGTCTACCGGGGGAATGGGGCTGGGCTCCAGAAGTCATCCTGGGACCCTATGGTAACTCTCCCCCTTATCTCCACAGGCTGGTTCCTGTCAAATGAGCAAAGATGAGTATGAAGAGGAGGACAGCTCTGATGAGGAGGTGAGACTTGGGCTGTGCACAATGGAGGTCCTATTGCTAGGGCTGAGGTGGAGGCCTCAGGTGCCCGAGTGGGTGTTGTTCCTCAAGCAGGGATAGTACTGAGGTCCTGTTGGACCTTCCTATAGGGGGCTATGCTGTTATCTGTTAGAGGAGCCAGGTTCTCATGAGGCTTCTGAGCCCTGAGTGGGCGGCCTGGCTCAGGCCTTGCCCCCATCTGGAAGAGTGATTTGGGGTCTGAGACAGATGACTGAAACAGTTCGTGTGTGTCATTGCCAGGTGGAGAAGAGACTGGACATGGCTTAGCAGTGCCTTGTATGTCCTGTGGGCACAGAGGGGCTAGGAGTGGCTTTGTGTGGGGTAGCCTGTGTTGGGACTGGGGGTGGCAGGCCCGGGCATAAGTTGAGTAGACCCATGCTCCATATCTGTGGGAAGGCCACAGGAATGTCAAGGACAGGACTGGCATCTCCTGGTCTCCTGGTTGGCTTTGTCTGTTCTCTTGTGTTCCCTAGGTGGCTACTGTGGCCCTTGAAGCCTCCGATTAAGTTCCAAAAGCCTTAGAAGGGACAGGGAATTTACATCGTGAAGAAGAAAGCATCATGCTGGGCTGATACTCATTTGAAGCCTCAGGGGGCAGAGGCATTGAGAGGCTGTGGGCTATGTCCAGAAGGCCAGGAGGGGCTGGAAGCTCTAAGAAGCTATGGGCACAGAGGCAGTGAGCCTGGCAAGCTTGTTTCTTCCTAATGAGGCTTGATCCCAGGGCAGGGCCACAGCTCAGGGTGTGAGCCTGGGAGCTTCCTCTAGGCCTTGGTGTGGGGCCTAAGAGGATGGGTCCTTTCCCTCAGAAGCTCTTTCTGCCTGCCTGTCAGGGTCTGTCCCTAAGGCCTGGGGGAGACACGCGCCCCCTCTCCGGCTGGGCTTCCTCCCCACCTTCAAGCTCTCTTGGCAGTATCTGCAGGAGCCTTGGCCGCCGGCCCGATCCAGTCTCTGCTATGCGTTCAGAGAACAGAGACAAAACAAAATAAATTGGTTTCCTGGCCGGAGCAGCGGGCGTACCGGCGAGGGGGGCCGCACAGCATGGCTCCCTGCCTGTCTCCCCTCCCCCCCCCCCAGAGGCCC